GACTCAATATGATTAATCTGGGACGTGATTTATGCAATATTGACTTTAGTCCAGTTTTTGATTCTGCTGATGCTGACGAATCAATGGATTATGTTATTAAACATGTACAACTATCTATCTTAAATAATACTAACACAATAACCTTAAGTAAGAAAAATTGCACCATAAAACCGTGGATAACGGAGGGACTTGTCAGGTGTATACGACACCGCGATAGACTACACAGAAAAGCCAAACAAAACCCTAATAACTTAATTATCCAGACAACATATAAAAGATATCGTAATTTCTGCAATAACCTCTTAAAACGTATAAAAAATGAATACGACAAATCACAAATAGCTCAATCCGGAAACAATCCCAAACAACTGTGGAAATATATTAAGTCAGTCACATTCATGACGAAGCAAAATAATTGTGACACTGATTTATTGCAAACGGATCAAACCCCGCTATCATCAGCTAACAACGCAAATAGTTTCTTTGCTAATATTGGTGTGAGGCTAGCGGAAAACATTCAAAGACAGTGTTATAATGACCTCAATACTACGATACCATCTCCGAGGCCATGTATTGGTAGTGGAAAGTCTTTTGTTTTACTAGAACCGGACGAAAGTGAAGTAGAACGAATTATTATATCTTTAAAAAATAGTCCTGTGACAGGGTGGGATAATATCAGCACTAATATACTAAAAACCTTTAGGAACATACTAATACCGCCACTAACTCATATTTTTAAAATTTGCTTTTCTAGTGGTACATTTCCTAAATGCCTCAAGAAAGCAGTAGTAATCCCTATCCATAAATCTGGTACAAAGGACTTGGTAAATAATTATCGGCCTATTTCTATATTGCCGTCAATCTCTAAAGTTCTTGAGAAAATTATAAATAATAGACTAGTCTCGTATCTCGAAAATAACTCCCTTATATCTAACAAGCAATTCGGCTTTAGAGCCAAATTATCGACAGCTGATGCAGTACATACATTAACTGACTATGTATCAGGAGAGCTTGGACAAAGTAAGCAAGTAATGGGAATTTTCCTTGATTTAGCAAAAGCTTTTGATACGGTATCTATCCCATTGCTACTAGACAAACTGGAGGGGTTGGGAATAAGAGGGACACAGTTGGAACTTTTTAGAGACTACTTGCGGGATAGACGGCAATGTGTAAAAATAGGCAACGTCATTAGTTCCGAATTACTGCTACCGCTATATGGAATTCCACAAGGGAGCGTACTCGGAGGAACCCTATTTCTGGTATACATAAATGACCTATGTAACCTCAAACTACAGTGTGGCACTATTGTATCATATGCGGATGACACTGCTCTGCTGTTTTCAGCAGGTTCTCTTACAGAAGTTCAAAGCTGTGCACAGCAAGGGTTTGATGTCGTAAATAATTGGCTTAAAATAAATCTACTAACAATAAATACTGATAAGACAAAATTTATAAAATTTAATATGCGTAAACCTCTAGCACGTAATGAATTTCACTTGTATGCGCATAAATCAGAATGCTCAATCGTGACTAACGCTTGTACCTGTCCGGAAATTGTAATAACAGATAACATTAAGTATCTAGGAGTTATTCTAGATGAAACCCTTTCCTTTAAACAACATATCGCTGCATTAACATCTAGAGTTCGGAAATTGATATTTGTTTTTAAAAAATTGCGGCTTATTGGTGATCACAAGTTAATTATTCAAATTTATAAAGCCCTGTGTCAATCGATAATCCAATACTGCATTACTTCTTGGGGCGGAAGTGGAAAAACATTGATACTTCCAATCGAACGAGCGCAAAGAGCCATCTTGAAAGTCGCCACGCACAGACCGTACCGCTACCCCACAGGCTTACTGTATGAGTCTAGTAAAGTGCTGACAGTGCGACAATTATTCATACTATCCACTGTACTAAAACAGCATACTACACTTACATATGACGCTAACCTCACTAACGCCAAGAGACGGAAAGATATTGTCTGTACTGCTAGCTATGAATCAAAGTACGTATTTACACATAGATTTTTTGCATTTTTAGGGCCATATCTGTACAATAAAATTAATAAAGAAACCTTGGTTTACAATGTAAATTACACCAGAGCAAAACAGCGCATTTCTCAGTATCTACTATCATTAAGTTATGAAAAAAGCGAGGATTTGTTGATTGTCATGAAATAAATAATATATAGATATAAATAGATAATAATTATTTTAATAAATGCAAGTATAAAGTTAGTGTTTCCTAACTTATGTATACATATGTAGGTTTTGTAATTTTTGGTGACTGTAAAAATAATATTGTTAAGGCTTAGTTATATTATCCTAATGTATAATGCACGCGACCACAAAGCCTGTGGTACAGATTTAATTCTATACAGGCATTGGATTGTAACCTACCTAGAATAGTTAAATAATAAGCTTTGATTAAGTACATATATGTGAACAAAATGGAAATAAATATATTTGTTTGTTTTGTTTGTTTGTTTGCTATCGCTAATCCAAGGCACAACAGTCACACAGAATCAAATCTACTGAACTAATGATTACTTAAAAACATTTTCATATTTAATATAATTCGAAGCTATAATAAAACGAAAAAACATTGGTACTTGAGTGTTTATTGTAAAAATGCACAATAAAATATCATACACATACGATTGGAGCTTACATTCCCCTCAAACTTATAATTACAATTAATTATAAATAATTACACAACAAAATAATTCCTTAAACTTCTATTTATATATAAATTATGCGCTACAAGTGATGTTTTAATTTAAAATTGTAAATATTACAAAGACACCAACTGATGGACGTTATAATATATTAGTAATTAGTGCCTAAAAAAGATTTTGTGCGATATTTAAGACACTTTAGCAAATCGATTTAATATAATCCAACCGATTTCGAGATCTATTATTTGTATATCAAAGTCGACAATGCAACCGAACGAAAAAACTGCAAATTACGTTTTACGGTTTACATTTGTCTTATTACAATAACATAGAGTTCAAAATCCATTGAATTATTTGTAAATAAAAGATTTATAAGTAAAAACTGTCCCTATTCGGTTTCTAACTCGCAATTTGGGTTCCATACCAACGATAAAACATGTCCTTAAGTGAAGTTTCAATTAATCAGTTAATTAGTAGGTACTTGCCTTGCCTTGTATCGCCGAAAGGATAGACAGGGGCGCACATATTTGTGCATAATACTACATATTATACACTGTACAGTGTACAGAATACCCACTTTTCGCCGAGTCTCATACAATAGGGGCTTCGAATTTCGTCGGTACAGAAACGCTTACTGCTTCTACGTATTTTGTACTTCTAAAACGTCTTGTAGACGAATGTCAGACCGAAGTTTAAGTACCGATAAAGAAAAACTAATCAGAGATAATGATTTCAAAATTACAAAAAGAAACATCTAGCAAATTTCAAACATCTTTCTATATTGTGCACTTTGTTTATAGGTTTATATAGATTACCAACATAAGAATTAAATACAATTACGGTAGTTTTCACTTGACGGTATCTTAACTTCGGCCATATTGCGAGCACCAACCAGATTACAGATGAAAAAAGTATGCATAACTATATTCTTCAGAGCTTATAGTTAATTTGTTCCTAGCACCATAATACTGCATTCATATTAATTAATCACACAATACTTGTGAAAAATATTTCTAGATAATAAGCACAATTCCAACCTGTTTAATTTTGGAAAAAAATCACCCATAGCATAAAAACCACAATTGACGCTCCCATTTTCTTCAGTGGCGCCATCTACAACACCCAGAACTAATATAAATGCAGTATTATAAACCAAAATACAAACACTAAGTAACCTAACCTCTTGTCTTTATTTCTCTATACAAAAATAGTCAAAGTGCACTTACATTATTAAAATACAAAACATTAAAATAACAATCAAAATGCACCGAGCACACATTAGTCAAAACTATTGCTATCTCTTACTAACACGTAGAGAGAGAAAGGGAGACAAACATTTTAGGCCCACCGAATTCCAGCGGAGGCGCGGCGAAGATACTAAGAATAAATCAATTTAAAAGAAACCTTAACCTCTATGTTATAAAGATGAAAACAGCATGCCAAAGATGGGAAGGGCGCGGTGCGTCGTTCTTTGACATGCAGTTTTCATCTGTTTGCCATAGCAGTTATGGTTTATTTTAAATTGATTAAATCTCAGTATCTCCGCCACGCGTATCTTTGCCGGTATCCGCTGGGCCGTACGTATATACGTATGTCTTTTATATTCTCGTCCCTTTCCCGCAAAGTAAAAGATAAAGAGACAGTAATAAATCTACATTTAATTTAAATAGTTTAACAGAATCAGTTCAAATAGCACATTTTAGTTACCTTTCTTCATACCCTTCTAAAACTTTGACAAATCGTTGCGATTTAACTGATTGACTGATTATGTTAAGTCTCTTAGCGACTGATTCACCACCTTCATAAGTATCCGATAAAAAGTGACAGATAGCTCAACTGTTCTTAATAACATAACATCACGCCTTTTCTCCCCGAAGTGGTAGTCAAAGGTGCACATAATGGCACTTTATGCCACTGTACAATGTAACACCCACTTATGAATCTATGAATCACATGTACTACGGGGTGAGCCTATTGCCATATACCGGGCACAATTTCAGGCTCCGTGCTACTATTAATTTTTTTTAAAAAACACGACCGAAAAAATACTTTGGCCGACCCGGGAATCGAACCCGAGACCCATTGCCTGGCAGTCGCAATTGCGACCACTCGGCCAACGAGGCAGTAAACGTTTTTAATCTATCTGGGACATAAGAGAGGCCTTAGTACGAGTTTGATGTACGTTTAAAGTATTCGAAACGATACATGCGTTCGGCGCTCTGATTGGCCGGCGCCAATGAAGCACCCAATCACAGCGCCGAACGCGTACTCGTTACGATTACTTTTAAACGTAAAACCTCGTACTAAGGCCTCAGATATTTTGAAACAAGGCTTTAAAATAAAGATTATACATATCTCTAAAAATCAAGATGGTTGCCAATAACCAAGAATACCAAGATGGTTGATATAAAAAAGTATTAGACTAGACGCAGTTTTTGTTCATATAAATCGCTACGATTTGTTTTACCTGTGTATCGAGCTTACTTATATATAATTATGTACAGTACTGATGTATTTCAAAATAAAATAAATACATAAGAAACGAGTGAAAGCGAATCCCAACATCAGATTAATAAAATTAAAATTACAAATACAAGGTTTATAACATAAACAATTTTAGGGGAAATGAGTAATTAGACAATAGAGTAGTTTCCTAAATTTTAATTTAATGTCTGGTACATTAATTTAAAAATTTAGACACGTATTTTTTCTTTTCTCGCAATATTAAATACTTTCGATGATATATTAATTTGGAATATCGTGTGACGTCACAGCGTGCCACATTTTACGTAGCACGTTATGACGTAACGACCTCCCACTCCTAAACTTGGCGTTAATTTATCTAAGTATTGCAACTTAATACGAGAAAATAAAAAAAATACATGTCAAATATTTTTTCATTATCTAACTGACAGATTAATTCGAATTTCAATTTTGATACCCTGGAAACTACCCTATTATTTACGTCGGAATTAAGTCTTAAAAAAGGCATCTATGCCGAAAATATCTATTTAAATGAATAAAAAAAAATCACAGAGATTTTCTATGCGAGATTCTAAAAATAATTCCTTTTCTATTTCAATAGATGTACAAATATGTATAATAATTGGACACATATTATAAAATACAGTATAAATAAATATATCCATTCTGTATTTGTAAACAGTAACTATACGATATGCTATGATGTTATAAAAATATAAAATTACTTGTATTCCGTTTTGTAACTTGTATAAAAATTATAATACCTATTCCCCGTCTTTAACAATTTGAGCTCATCTAACAACTAAGAGAAATAAGAATAAAGAGTCAAATATTTTACGTGTGACTTCGACATTGGTATTGTGAAATTTCGGACTCTTCAGTTGCAACACCAGCGGCCCTTGCATCCGTATTGCGTGGATATTTATTGAACTAAATGTAATTGACTTTATATTCCGTACTCTGAACGCTATTTTAACAGCTACTATAGTTTATAGTTTTGACATTGAATAATTATTGAGATTTTATTGGATTGACATTGAGATTGATCACCCTGGTATGCAAAAGAACGATAGCTTCCATTCTATATTCTCATTTCTCCGTACATAAACAAACATGGCAGTCACTTACGTATCATTCGTGTATAGACATAAACTAGTGTTGACATGACTTATGACGTCATACACTGGAGAGGTCTGACGCGAGCAGTGGCTTGGACTGTAAGCCGCGACTGCACAGCTGTGTCACCTGTGTTGGCGTCTTACCTCGAGTCTCGGGGAAGTACATTCTGCGGGAAGAAAATATGTTGTTTTAGGGTACATTGGTACTTTTTCATGGGGAATTTTTTATTGCACCTCTATTTAGAAATGTATGCCAACCAAATTTCTCCTCTAATAACCTACTGCATATCAAAAAATGAACCGTAAAACAAAAATACTGATTGGCACACTAATTGTTCAATATTGGGTTAGGTTAGGTTTGCTTTTTTTTCACGACTGTAAGATTATGGGTTAGGTTAGCTTAAGAATAAACCATGTTCTTAAAAGTTTAATAGGTGATAGATACAAAAAAAATATTTTTATATACATATTTTGTGGAGAATATTATTAGATTTACTTTTAGTTAAAATATAGTCATTCAGTAAAACAGTTAAGCTTTAAAGATCTAACAGTATAGTATAATTGATTTATTTGATGAGTAAATTTAGTGTGCAATTCAGTATTTTTGATGGTAATTTCGAATATATTGATTGAGAAAAGGGAATTTACAGTTAAAGTACTAAATACCACCATTTTTCATTAGAACTCTTTTGGTCTGTCGCTACAAATATTTGAGAAAATAATGACAGAGATGGCTTGCTGATTAATTGCAATTTAAAATTATTTAGCATTTTAATACTTAGGCGTTTACTTGCTTAAATAGGAGAGTGGAATGTACGTCGCGTAGAACTTTCTAGAAATTTTCGACACGTACATAATCTTGAAACAATATCTTTACTTCCTTGAATAGAAGCGACGTGTAACGGATATGTATGTTGTGGAACATTCTAGAATTTTTTGAAACGTACAGAATCCTGTAATTATCACCGTTGCCTTTTAATGTGGAGGGTGATAGGATAAAAGACACGACACGTATGTCGTAGAATATTCTAGAAATTTTCAAATTTTACAGAAAAAAATTGTGATAACATGGAACGAACTAGTATTATTTTAATACAAACCGATGGTTATTTATTAACATGCTCTTTCTTTTCATCGATCTCATTTAGAAATTTTATAATGTTAACCTGTAAAAGTGCTGTTTTGTAGCTCCAAAAATATTTCATCTATCTACTTACTTCTGGAAGACAAAGAGTGCAGCAGTGACGCCGGAGAAGACGAGGAAGGAGTAAGGTCCGATGGACTCCCTCATGGAGGGGAATGACATGCCCACGAGGAAGTTGCCGCCCCAGTTAGCTAGCGAGCCCCACGCCATACCCGCAGGGCGGGGACCCACCTCGAATATCTCTGTGGATGCAAACGAAAAGATTTACTAATCTAATGCTAAATCTATATCTTATAAAAAACACAATAAAAAAACCATTGTTGTAGAGTGCTTTGATCGTCATTTTAATTGCTTTTCAATATTTCAATGGCTTATTTACCCTAGTGAAAGGTACTTTTTTGATTGTATTTTGTGTAGCCAGTGCCTTTAGCCAAACGCCACTTTAGCGCTTGTCTACAGAGAGAGTAGAAAACTAAATGTATGGGGATGACACTGACAGTGCCAAACATCCATTCTATATAATTTGGTTTTCTATTCTACATGTAGACAAGCGCTAAATGGCATTTGGCTACAGGTACTGCTGTTAGTACTGATGTTCAAATATATCAGGTGGAGGTTGCTTTACAGCCAGTTTCAATGATTTATCTATTTGTAAATTTGCTTACTAGAGATAGAATTTTGACATAAGCTCGATACAAAAAGTGTCAAAATTATACCTTTAGTAAGCAAATCTATAGATAGATAGGTTATTGAAATTGGACGTTAGTCCTCAAATTTGGCAGATTGCCTGGGGATAGTAGTTAGGCCACAAAAATTTAGATAGATAACCCACCCCTTGGAGACTGGTACAATTTAAAAAAAATAACTGATATGTCTATTTTTCGTTGCACTATTAGTAAAACTAGTTTTAGTTTGCGTTACTCACCCGAGGCGATAAAGTAAGGAATGGGTCCGAGCCCGAACCCGTAGACTAGAACATACGACAGCACCGCTACCATACACACGTACGGCATCCATGACACTGCGTGCTGAGGACAAAACACATAAATGAATTAGGTACTTGCTAACTAGTCAAATGCAATACTTTTTTCGAACTGTCAAGAACGACAGTTCTTAGTGTGGTTATTTTTTAACATTTTATTGTATTGAACAGTCGAAATAATTTATTTTTGATTATCACAAGTACCCAATTGTACGTAAGACAATATTATTAGCAAAAAATTCAGAGGTTTATTATGGACAAATTTCTAAAGTACAGAATAATCAATTCCATATTGTTAGCGTAATGATAGAACTACTAACGCGCGACATTCAACAAATATATTGTGTGGTCTTTAAATTCCCGTTTTGCTCAAGATGATCTTGCGGATTTTACATGTTATCATATTCAGTATTTCCTACAAGACTAACATAACATATGGAAAAAAATATTTAACTTTATAATACATGATACAATTTGAGATTCGCGGAAGATAGTCAAGTCAAGTCAAAATAATTTATTTCAATTAGACCAGGATGGATAATTTTAATAATTTTAACCCCATACAGATATCTTTTTTTTTCTTTACATGTCTGTTTTTAAACCTTTTTATTGTTATTTGTCATAATGTATAAGTTTTTTTTCTGGCGTCCATTTCATTTTATTTCATATCGCAACTCTATACATACAACATCATAAATAATAAAAAAAAGCCTTGAAATATGTCAAAATAAGTGGTCCAACTCACCATAAACCTCATACAAGCAGCGAGCGCGGCCAGTATGGCGGCGGCAGTGAAGACGGACGCCAACAACAATGGCCGCCGCCCGAACCGAGGCAACAACTTCAGCATCAACACGGCCGTGCACACGTTGATGAACCCGCACCCTATTGTAGCGTACTGGGAGCTCTGGACGCTTAGACCGGCCTGCTTGAATATCGTCTGCGAGTAGTAGAACACCTGGAAGAAATAATAATTCTATGATTACTGACACAAGGCAAAAATTTATGCTGAACAAAGGTCTTTTTTTTGAGGGGGGAAATTATCCAATGACTTCTCCCATACGGGTGAGGCGGAAGGGAGTGTCAGACTCTAACTGACTAAAAAGGCTGCAGGAGAAGGAACGGGGTGGCCGTTCCTACTCCTGCACGTCGAGCCGGAGCCCCGGTAACCCGTTAAGTCTTCCGCGGCTCCATATCGGCATCGGCCCTATTGGGCCCCATCTGTGGTGGTCTGATTTGCTGAACAAAGGCCTAAAGGTTACTTTCATTATGAGAGCTTGGCCATAATCTTTACACTTGACTTAACTACAAGATTGCAGCACTGAACCACTCTTTGAATGGTCAATAAATTGTTGTTTCTGGTCTGGGTGTCATTTGTATGTGAACTTGTATGATTGTAAACGCAACCACGATACAGGGGAAAATCTTAGTGTGTTTTTTTTAATACTTGGCAGGCGGGTTGGGAGTCGTAACCAAGTCATTTAATTTTGAGGCTGTTGGTGATGATGGGCGTTTTTGAGTGACTGATCGTAGTTTTTGTTCTACTCGTAGCTACAAAAAAAAAACATGAATTTGGAACAATGTTTTTGTTTCAATCGAAAGAGGTCCTTACTATTGTATATTTTCTCTGTGCCATTTCACAAATGGAAAAAGTGTGTGTCAGGAATCAACCAAAACCTTCTAATTAGCCTCCTTCGAATGTCATGTTTACAAACATATAGATGGTCTATTAGACAAGAAATAAACTTTGACATATTACATAACAACACGCCTTTTATTCCCCAAGGGGTAAGCAGAGGTGCACATTACGACACTATAACGCCATTGTACAATGTAACACCCACTTTTCACTATTTATGTTCTGAGTCCCATGTAATAGGGGGTGAGCGACACGTTACTATCACTTTAAAAATCTCACCGCATTGATCCCACTGGTCTGCTGGCCGGCCTGCATGCTGCAGACGAGCAGTAGCGGCAGGCGCAGGCGCGGGTCGGTGAGCGCGCGCGCCATGGACCAGGCGCCGCCCGCGCACTGCGGCCCGCCGGACTCCGAGCGGAGCACCTCCACGTCCTCGCTCAGGACGCTCGGGGACACGCCGCGGAGACGACTCAGTTCTGGTGAACATAGTACATTATATACTATAGGCTTAGGTTATAAATACTAAAGCAAACTTCACGATCTAAAATCGATTTAAAAGTGTATAAAAAAAACTTTATGCTCTTTACTAATTTATTTTTAATTTGTTATTTGTTGTAAATAACTAAATTCTGCTACAAGCGTGCTTAGGAACATGACAAATCAAGCATTGTTAATTGATAAAAATAAAAATTAAACTTTAAAAAATGATACTGCTCCAATATTACGTTTTACTTACCTTTTACAGCTCTCTCCTCATTTTGCTTAACTACAAATAAGTACTTTGGACTTTCTGGCAGTATAAATAACAACGGTAAACATATAATGACTAGCAACGCGTAGACGGACAGAAGGTAGGGCCAATCTTCGGCGCGACCTGGAACAACGTAATACAATTAAGATTAACTTAACTACTATGAAATTAATGACTTGATGAAAATTTTCACTTCTGCACACACTAGATGGCGCCTCTAGCGACTATGTCTTATAAACGTCACAAAATGTGATCACAGGTTGTTTCAAAAATACCTCTGGTCGTCTTCTTTAATTAGTGACTCGAATCTATTACTTTCATTTAATAAGAGAAGAATGCAGGACAAGGTGGACAGATGACCAGTTAAAGGTCGCAATCTCATCACTACATAGCTGTATAGCATAAAACAAAGTCGCTACCCGCCGTCTGTCTGTCCCTATGTATGCTTAGATCTTTAAAACTACGCAACGGATTTTGATGCGGTTTTTTCAATAGATAGAGTGGTTTTTAATGAAGGTTTATATGCATAATACATGCATATTGCACCCGTGCGAAGCCGAGGCGGGTCGCTAGTATGATGATAAACATAAAAATCATTGTACAAGACCTAGTTTTAATTATTATAATGTAATTTTATATTAATCAGTGTAACAAAGACGCTCCGTAGCATATAGGTTAGCTTGACAATTATTCGAGTTTTCTTATTTATTTATTTTACACTTTAATGCACACAAAATAAGGTACATAAGGCGGACTTAATGCCATATGGCATTTTCTCCCAGTCAACCTTTGGGTTAAATGTAAGCTCAGCGAAAATGGGCCTGTGTAATATCCAAAAAAACAAAATAAATAACTAATAGTAACAATAAATACTGTATAACCTACTGTATAAAAATATATAATAAACACAAAATATGTACTCAAATATAATACAAAATATGTTTTCTTGACTACAATCCCTAAATCGCGCGCCGGTCGACCTGACATTTGACAATTCTGCTGAACAACCATTTTTGCGCAGGTTTTGTTTATAACATAAAGTTCTCAAAAAATATCTGAACAGCTCACCTAATATAAAATCTAACCCCATGACTTGTCCGACTAGGACCCCGACGTTGACCCCCATAGGGCACGCAACCCCCATGGCCCCGGTCAGCGCCGCGGGGGCCAGCTCCGTCAGGTACATGGGCACTATGCTGGTGGTTAGACCTGAAAGTAAAAAATGGTATTTTAAAATCCTAAACTAGATACAAAAAATCAGTAGGTCAACCTATATCACTATATATGCTACCGTGTATCAAATTGCGTGCAATAGATTTTCGATTTTATCCAAAAGCCACAAAGTTGAAAATATATTAACTTCACGACTATAAATCTACGGAACAGTAAGATCAGCTACGTGATCTGTCTCTGACCTTATGAGCAAGAACAGATTCAGATACACGAGAACAAGGTATCTATTATAACCACCTACACCTCTATCTTCTAACATAATAAAACTCATA